TTATGTTTTGCTTTATCGCTTTCTTTCAACACTACTGTTTTATGACGAGGTTCACAGATTCTTCAGTGACGTACTTCCATCACAGTTATGACGTCGAAAAAACGCGAACGATCAGAAGACAAAGAAAAAGTTCTGTCAACGGTAGTCATACCCACAGCTTCTTCGTCGGCGACGACATTGGTCAGGCACGATATCCACTGCACCACAGTCTCATAGTTTGCCGGCTTTAACAACACGTCATTCAAATTTACCACTACCCTGTCACAGTGTTCCAGGTAATAATGCATCATTAACATGAGCGATTAGTCCCTTCAACGCGTCATTCAAAGCATCCGTCCTACGCAGTGCGTTTGCAAGAGGAAAAGTGTAATTTTGTCAGCAGTGTGTCTACTCCATGAAGTAACTTCGCATTCCTGGTAACACTCCCCCCAAGAAAAACTGTAGCCGGCCAACAGTGAAGACACAACGTGCATTGTGCTTCTTTCTAATTTGGCAGTGGCGTTCAATGATTCTGTGTAATCGGGCAGCAGTGTTCAAATACTCGACCTTAGCCGAAGTTTGGCGCACAATCAGTCACGCTGCTCCGGTTCTCACACCGCTTTCTTTGATTCAGCTCTCACTATTCACTACAGCTACGCCACAGGCATCCATGACCACAAAGTCATGTTCAGTCATTCCACAAGACACTACTTCACTTCATACACAACACCGGCCTAACTGCGCACATTTAAGAAACATACCCGCAAAAATATTATGCCTTATACGCAAGTCCTTGTCGCAAAAAAATCAATATACACTAATCACAGACGTTAGTCGTCGGGATCTAAACACGTCACTTGGTGTCAACGAGGATTAATTTACATTGAACGGTGCTTTAGCTGCCAAACACCAACAAACATTGTATAAGCACCCTTATATCAATGTAGAGCGAACATCAAACTACGTCTGCAAGGAACCAATTCACTTTCGTATTGAAATAATTGCTTGGATGGAGAGATCCACCATTTTTTTTATTTTTCCTTGTCGAAAATATGCCCTAAGGAATAACCTAATGAGGAAGAGTTCAGTTTTCTGTGTAAAGGCCAGGAACAGTCTATGCAGAGGACGTTGTGTCCAGTGCGCTAAGAGAGGTGGCCAACTGGGGTGGTAGTCAAGGCCGCGCATGTGGCGGGTGCAAACGCTGTGAAGGCCCGGACAGGTTGCCAGTACGTGGTCCTGAGCGCAACCTCCTCTCGGCGCTTTAAGCCACTGGGTAGGTCCGATTAACGGCGGGGAATGAGTGCACGCATGGAGTTACAGAGCTTTTTTGTACAGGATTAAGCTGTATTTTGGGAACAAACGAGGTAGAAGCCACAGGTGTTGAACTTCCGTTGGGTGGCAAGTGGTATCTGCGTCCAGCTGGGCTAGTGGAGACCCACGAGTCCATAGTACGCTGACAGGACAGGCGCACAAGTGAATACGTTGGGTTACGTCAGAAGCTATATGAGAGAGCTGGTCACTTCTCACAGTTGTCGAACTACCTGCTCAGAGCCCGTATATAGGCGTTCTGTTGGGTGAAAAGCAATCCACTTTGGGTAACGTTAAGCCTTCCCGTATAGTGAAAAGCTCTGCCAACACTGATGAGAATGGTGGCACTGTAACATAAGAGCATGAATGTGTTCTTTCAGGCATCATGGGGCATAAGAGGCTGGTGTGCATAACGCAGTCATCTATAGAAGCGTGTACGTATGCCGCTAGTTAGTCCTCGGTGGTAGGGACGATGGCCTCCTGTGCCGCAGGCTAGCCAGTTGTCAGTTCACGCTTGTCCTGTATACACCTGCGCGTTCTTTTCGTGCTTCAGAGGGAAGCTGCAAGTGTCGAGCTGCTTTTCGATCTTCGTGTGACATTCCAATTTTTTACTCTTACATCTATTATTTCACCCTAGGCGGAAACGTGGCTTTATTTTTCTCGTTATCTTCACTTAACTTCATCTCCGCTTCCCCTTTCCTTCCTCACATGCGTCGCCAGGCGACACATCGTGTAGGGTTACCAACCCTTCCGTGGAGATAGTCAGGATGGGAAGGAGGGGGGGACGTACTCTAAACTAGGTAACCAGAGAAATCAGTTTTCTTTGTTGCGGCACCTTCCTGTCAATTGTGTTGTTTTTGTTGTTGTTGTGCCATATTTAAGTGGTAAAGGCGCTTGAAACTTCTGCTGAAGAGGTTGCAGCCCCTCGAAGTCACCACTAGACATCGCAGTGTTGCCAAGTGCGTGTATTTCGTGCGATCTTCACGCTAAGAAGCTCGGTGCATGTTGCTGGGTGCGCATTGTATCACATAGTCTTCTTACGGGAAGGTGGGGAATACGTCCAGGAGAAATAGGTTTCCTCACATTGACGGCGTGGGACTCGGAACGCTTTATGAAAAGCCGGGACAGTCTTGTTAAAGCCGGGACCGTTGGCAATCCTAATGTATGAACGTCATCGCTCGGGAAGGTATCACTGCGCACACTGGATAGTCCTGTACTTCCGGCACAAACCGGTTCGCTATCAATTTTTCAGGGCGCATAACAGGAAACCCAGCTGGGGATGTAGACTGCGACCACCTGTGGCTTTCTTTTCCAGTTAATTTTTATGTTTACATAACCTCCGGCATTCTAAGAGCACACTTATCTGGTGCTTTATTTTTATTGAAGTAATTGGGAACAAAACACAATTAGGCAAAGCTCTCGCCATGAGTGTTCACAAGGAAGGAAACAGTGCAATGAACCACAGTGGGCAAGTAGTCATTTTTTTAACGTGAAAGCGCAAGCCTCTAATGCCTGGTCGATAAGGACCGCATGACGAAACACAGCGCGAAATTGGGCGATAGCACACGCATCTACGCAAGGAACGTTTGCGTACACTTTTCCCCTGCTAGGCTCTTACGCAAAAAAGACCCAATCCTAACTGCATTTCGATCCAACATTATGTGATTGTTCTTTTTTTCATGCTTCTGTGTTTCAGGAGCAGATATCTTCACTCCGTCTGATGTTTTCGCCCAAAAAAACTGCACTGTGTACTACAGGAAGAAATTCTTACACGCACGTAAATTATTCAGTGGTTCTGTCTGATATGCAACTAATCTCAAGCGCGGACACTTGGCTTTTCCTTTGTAACTTGGTGGCAGCATTTCGAGAAAAAAAAGAAAGAGGATGGCAATAACAGAGCTCAAAGCGGGTATCAGCTCTAGTAGGGGATGAACAAGAGCCGGAAAAAAATGGCTCTGATTACCTCGGCTAGCCATTCTTAGTGATGCTGTTAGGTTTCAATCCGGTTTTCGAAGCTGAGCTCATGACTAAGGTTTCGGCGCTTCGAAAACTGCCTTCAAACGAAGTCAGTGCCGTCAACATTACAGATTCTCTTTCGGTGAATAAAGCTCTCACATCTTCAAAAAAATCAAGAACCATATTGACACTGCGCACATTACTTCCAGAAAGTATGTGTCTCGGGCCACTGTAGCATACAGGTAAATTAACTGGTTGATTCGTTAGCCCGAGCTTCACTTCATGGTCCAATGATTTCGGTACTCCCAGAAATAGAATACATAGGATCAATCAGACATAGAAAATTAGCTATTTTCACACATATGACGGAGAGTATTTCTAAATGAACAGACTATAAGCACCTCAGATATCCCTAGAAACCTCAGTGGAGTCAATGTAGAAGGCTAGAAGTTACTTTCATTGAATTTCGATGTCATTGACTCCCAATAAACTTTATTTTACAAAGAGCTGGACTGGCAATATTTCCCCTGTGCCCATTCTGTGAAGAATGGGCCCAAGGAAGTAAGCATAGAGCATTATTTCATTATTTAGGACAATCATTAGTTAGGAAAGGACTTCTAGGTATTACGTTTTCCACAGCAGGTTCAAGTATAACTACAAATAATTTTCTCCGCTTCAGCGCCTTCAAGAGTCTAAACGCATGTCAATTTAACGTCTCCGTTATTATATTATTGATGAATACTTGTGATATAAGTGGTAATGTGAATCAATGTAGGACACACATTCGATTTTTGATCGGTTGGGGTAAACTCAACTGTCTGGTCAACTCAGAAGTTTCAGTCTTTAGATAAAGTATCAGGTTTGATTTTCTTTGATTGATTCGATTTTTATTTGTTATTATTATTTTTCTTTTAAAAGATGAATCGGTATTCCTTTTTTGTTCATTTTAGTAATAAGCTGACAATAATCACATAGTGTTCCCATATAGGCTATTGCAAGCTTTCTTGAACAGTCTTCCAGAGTGGGCATGTACGAGTGTTCACTGGCAACGAACAAACAAACAAAAGTGACGGTGTTACCTGGTTACCGAAGCAGCCTAGCAGACGACAGCCACACAGAACTGCTCGTCGCGCGCACGCTCGTATTCTCATCGACTTCACCTTTCGTCGTACAGTCGTGCGTGACAAGTGGCAGTTATTTCTAAGTATATTTGCCATGCGACTTAGTTAAGTTTCAAAAAAGTTGAAGACAGGTATGCTCGCACAGAACATGTCATTGAAGCGGTTTTTGTAACCTCGTTTTATGATACGACACTAAGACACAAAAACTGGCCACTGCCACTGCCACGTTCTGCATCGTACGTAGTGCAGCGGTGACTTCGACGGTCTTCGTTCGAGCTGTGAGGTTAGAAGAATGGGTGGTTTTACATCTTTCTACGAGTCATTAGTTTCAGTAAGTGACATGCGCTTCATATAACAACAGCCGCTATAATAGCAAGCTGCAAGGACAAGCAACAAAAATTTCAGAACAAAGTTACCGAATTTCAGTCGTAAAACTTGAATCCTTCAATTGCGTGGTAAATAAGAGATTGCACTATGCCTTGTGTGATTATATATACGTAACATATTTCATTTCAGAAATGCAAAGATGGGTTTTGCACACAAGACGAAGCCGCAAGCACTGCAAATAGCGTTGAGTATTAATTTTTGTAAGAAAGGTAAAAAAAAATTATGCCATTACAGACAGCATTCACCACCTCTAGTCACACTGTTTAATGAATACACTATTTCGTACTCGCAGCCTTTAAAATCACAATATTTTCACATTTCTTAATGAACCATATAAATGAATGATTATGAAAAACATGGTGAAAAACATAAGGCGATACATTGAATTTACAATTTAATAAAGTAAGAAGGCATGTGCCGGCAACAGTGGTCTTGTGATTATTTTGAAACCAGTGAAAATAAAGAATTTGCCAACCGTGTCGACTAAGAATTCATGCTTTGAAGACCAAAGGTTCAACTTCATTGAGAGTAAGTTATATGACAAGACGTTATTCAACTATGCGTGCTGCCTACAATTAAGCCTATAGATTTATGCATTAGACAAGCCAGCAGTGTAGAAAATAAAGACCGTGAAGCAAACCAACTAAGGGCTCAATATATTTTCTATGCGTGCCGTAGCAAGAGACTTCGTAATATAAGCACCACCTATTGTGCTCAATAGTGTACAACAGTTGATGAAGTGCCGCTTTGCAATATACCTGGTTAACAAGCTGCAATCACTTGTTATAGTTGCCAGAATGAGTCAATGCAGACGGTTTTACAAGTTGTGAAAGTTCCGCCGCGTCATGCGATTATACAGAACACATCGAAGAAATGATCAGTTTGCAAATGATCTGCCAAACCTTCACTTTCACGTACCAAATCACGATGATTTTTTAATAGTTTAGGGGAAACGTGGACATAATGTTGGGATAGTGGGTCACAAGGTCATAAGTACAAGTTCGATTCGGCTCCGCATCATGCTGGGGACAACTTTGTCTTGGAGGAGCATCGTCATAGTTCTGAGCATTCCAGTGAGTTCCTTGTTCTTCCTCTCGAGACTTCCTCTTGATGCTGGAAAAGGAAAGAAATGAAGGAAATATAGATAAAGACTCCATTGCTGCCACTCGGGTGAAAATACTATACCAATGTGCTTAACACCTATGGTGTACTTCACACCTTTGCTGAAAAGAAACAAAGGCATGTCGACGGGACAGGTGCTAACTCATAACGTTATTATAAAGAAGAAAAGTGTGACACATGTATGCTACTTCCGAGGCGTAAAAGCATCATCAAAATAGGACAGACCAGAGGGACATACAGAATGAAATATTGAAATATGTGTTCTAAGCTGTACAGTGAAATACACGTTTCAACCACACAATTAGAATTTTCTCTCTTATATTGAAGGCCTTTTGAAATTCCCGTGCAATTTGATCTTCATCTCTGAAGGATCCTCGCATCGTAGAATGCCGGCTAACAAGAGCAGCTTCTTCGATGAATGTGAAATCTTTAAATTGTTAACGTATTTCCTAATACGATCGTTTAGGCATCTATCCGTTGGTCTTAGACGTAGTATTTAACACATATTCGGAGTAGTGCATACACACCACCACTCTAACGCCGATTCGCTTTGCTTAACACTGTAGCCAGTCTTGAAGACGCCGATAAATTGATGTCACATTTGGGCCAGCTTGATGGGTGCGGGACATGCAAAAGGTGCATTGCAACTGTAAACCGCTTATTTTTTAGAATTATTCTTCATACTATGCAGCTAAGACAGAACTATCGGCTGTTGGGCGCTCTTTTAATGAACTGTAGCTTCTTTTCCAAACGCCCCTGCGTTTAGCTTGTGCTGCAGAGATCCCGCTGGAGGCGCAACGACCTGATAAGCGTAGCCGGCTTTGGAAAGGCGAGTAAATTGATATGCGAAGCTACCCCGAAACTTTGCGCTCGAAATGCTTCCCAAGTGAACCTCCCAGACACCACATGGCTGTCAGCCTCTTCACTAGAATAAAGTAGACAGGCTCGTAAAGTAGAAGTTCTTTTTGCTATATCGGCACAGTAAACAAGCAAACCTGGTCCTCAAAAACATTTTACGCTACAATCTACAAATACAGCGTATTTCTAGAGGTAATTACGAGGCGAGTTCTTCACCGCTGACTTTAAAAACTTGTAATGCAAGGTCATTCTCTGAATCTATAAAACGACACATACCATTCATCTCATTTGAAATGTCTTCTTACATTTAAATTCTTGCAAGACCATAAGGCAGCTGTCAACACCTTTATTTCCTTCCGAAGGAATAGTAAGGCAGCAAGGTGCTACGCACAAGCCATTGCAAAATACCATCTTTGTTTTCAGAAATGATGACAGTATTACTGAGATATAGTGACTTGTTAAAGAAATGAGCTATAACACACACTACAACATTTAAAACTGCGATACCTTATGTAGGACGAAGGAGCAGATGCATCAATAACCACATGAGTGCACACGCGAACAATTTGAAGAATGATTTAGCTGTGCATCTTTCGGCGCATTGAAGAACCTGCTCTTGGGACTTAATATTCTGTGACGCGAGGGTCCTTCGCAGAAGTAAATTAAATGACACGCGAACACCAGAGGCATTCCGATTGCTAGAGATCGATTTGTCTGCGTTGCCAAACGTCCATTTAGTATATATTGCGGTACACACCTTGCTTAAACCGTTGCTTTTATACATCACATGCAGCCTGTTCAAAGTTGGTGACGCGTCTGCACATCGGGAGTATTATGCAGGCCCCACAGTTTCATTGCCTCTAATAAATTTGTCTTCAGGTATTTCTTTCTCTTACGTTATCATTCATTAGCGCTATAAAATGTCGCTCTACCAGTAAGAACTCGGCCAGCAGCGTGTATGTTCATCTGCTACCGTGGCGTCAGTGGCCAATTGCAAAAATAAATTCACCACCGAGACTCGTCAGGTATGCATCGCTAATGCATTTTGATTCACTACCTCTTAAAGTATCACGCATTTATGAAGCCCCACAATGCTTCAAAACTACATGGCTATTGAATCAAAATCAGCACCATGAAATCGCTTCAGCGCATGCCGCTATCCATCCACAAACGACATGACGTCACATTTTGTATGTACCACACATTTTTTTAAGCACAAATTCTTCTAGAAGCTGTGGGCTTTATACTCATCCGCTCTCATGTCGCGTGGTCAGCAGGGGTCAACGGAGGTCTGAAACAAGGCTAATGGTGCTAAAAATGAAGGTCAAATAAAATTAGCATGGTTTAAAATAATAACTACGGAAATCGCAAAGCATTGCAGTAGCATATATTCAAAGATTGTGACAAACGTTTCCTAAATATTCGGCTGATACACCCGTCGCAAAAGAGATAGCGGACAGCTTCAGCAAGAGCGGGATTGCAGCGTGATTGACTGGGTTATTTCATGCTACGCCCTTCCCAAGATTTTGAGCTACTACAACTACATAAAGTGCAAGAAACAAAACTGCAGGAACACCTACTGAAGACCGACATTAGCGCAGACCTTAGTGCCGTATTTAGAGCTACTGAAACAGCTACAACAGCTGTACGAAACATACAAGAGGGCTCTATTAGCCACCTTTTCGCCGCGGGACTACAGCAATGTTCGCATTATATTAAGCGAGATGTTTACTCACAATTAAACACGTCTTCACTGGCTGGTACCCAAAGTGGCTGTGTTGGCAGAACGAAGCGACATCAGGTATGTATATACAGGCAGGTGACAACTCGATGCACCGTCTCCAATTCCGCGTAAACGCCACATCTGGTGACTTGGGGATTGTTCCTAAGCATCTTGTTGATAAGTTGGCTTGATCCGAAGAAATATTCTTTAGGATGTCCATAGACTGCCACACACCCCCACAACGGCCTCAAGCAGAAGCAATAGACATGAAAACCAGCACTCGCGGTGTAACTTTCCAGCACCAATGCACACATGTGAATGCACCCTGAGCTTCTGTCCATGGAATGAACGAATCCGCGGTTCAAATCACGATTCTCTAAATAGCTGATCACGAAATTCGCATCAGCTTGAACTTGAGCCCCCCTGAGTTGATATACAACCCAGGGACCAAGGACGCCTTTCTCCATAAGGCACAAGTATGTCCTACATATGCATTCGAGGCGAACTTGCAACACTGGAATAGCGGCAATATGTCTGACGATACTGGTGACGGCCTCTGTCTGAGGCATTCCCCTGATGTGCGGAATTGGTAGAGTAGTTTCGTCCTCCAGGGAATACAGTTGATCGGCATGCATCAGCGACAGGTGGAAGCTCAGCCTGTTCGAGTCTCCCGATGTCATCTCGAACAGTGGGAATTATTTCCAGCAAAGGATTAGCCTTTGAAGAGGAGGTTCTGCTATGCCTGTCCGCCACTGACTTGCACCACTGCGTCGGCTGAACTGTGTGGCTGTGCCGTTCGTATCACGCTGTCCCTGCCGCGCGTATGCAGGTATCACTAACAGTGTCTCTTTTATTGCATTGACGTTTTGCGGATAATCTGTGCAAAATATCTCAGCAGATTATACTCCCCTATATTAGATATAGAACGCTGCATGCAAGGTGCATATTTGAATGTCTGCTGTCGATTCTATAACGTCATGTCCCGTCTGAGCAAGCGCATTGATTACACCCCCACAATACAGCTACTGAGGTGGTTAGTTTTTGTCTAAGTCAACATACACCTAGCCTAAAATTGCTGAGAACAAATAATATTGTCCCAAGTCTTGCTTACGATGGATTTACCAGCGCAAAAAAAACTAAATACTTTGGAAGGAACACACACGCACAGAGCTACTCTTACAAGAAATGTATTACTTTGAACGAAAGGCCTTTTTGAAGGCACGCATCGAAGCAACAGATAAATGTCATGATGAAAATGACGATAGAGTACAACTTGACAAGTGTTCGCCGTAAACGACTATTAACCAAAGGTAACAGTGCAGATAAAAAAATCTTAAATTGCTATGTACACCACCGATACGAAAAAGAAGTGAAATAGTGACAAGCACTTGTCGCATGGTTTTCCATCGTTCTGTTCCTACTGCTGCATTTCTGTTGCTTCGATGCGTGCCTTCAAACAGGCCTTGCATTCGTGGAGGAGGAAGCAACAAAAGGGAAAAGGCAGGGAGGTTAACCAGAAAGACATCCGGTTGGCTACCCTACACTGGGAGATTAGGAAAGGAGATGAAAAAGAGGGATGAGAGGGAAAAAAGAGAGACTCACAGTAACTTCACTACAGCGTGTAGAGCTCCACTCCAACACATGTCAGAGGCGTTCACACAAGCCTGTCTTTCTCAGGAAGCACAGCAGGGCTTTCACGGCCTTGTCGGCTGTCCAGCGATGTGGACGTTGCTGTAATAGCACTTGCACAAAAAGAAGCTGATCATCCAGTCACCGCATCGCGCTGGCAAGTACTTTTCTGTCTGAGGCAAATCGAGGACAGTGGCACAGTAGGTGTTCGATATTTCCATTGGTGACGCGAAACTCGCACGCCGCACTGTCAGTGATTCCAATTAACATGATGTAGGCTTTTGTGAAAGCAACTCCCAGTCAAAGGCGACAGAGAAGCAAAGCTTCACGTCGGTAACTTGGAGTTTTAAGACTTCACATGTGACAACGTCCACGACGGCAGAACTCGAGGCTCTGCTCAGTGCACTGGAACTTATCAATCCTAAAGAAAGACCAAGTAAATGGGCATCATGACATCAGCTACTGGTGTAAATATGACATAAAAGTGAACCGTCAAGCCCCGCCGCGGTGGTCTAGTGGCTAAGGTACTCGGCTGCTGACCCGCAGGTCGCGGGTTCGAATCCCGGCTGCGGCGGCTGCATTTCCGATGGAGGCGGAAATGTTGTAGGCCCGTGTGCTCAGATTTGGGTGCACGTTAAAGAACCCCTGGTGGTCGAAATTTCCGGAGTCCTCCACTACGGCGTCTCTCATAATCAAATGGTGGTTTTGGGACGTTAAACCCCACAAATCATCAAAATGAACCGTCATGAGATCCACAGATTGGAATGCGTACAAAGACACAGCAGGAAAGGGAATCACTGCCGCTACAAAGGATGATGAATTACTCGCTACGATGGCTCGTTGCCTAAAAGAATGCACACGCGTTTCAACTAAAAACGACAGATTTCTATCAAATGATGAGGAAGGAGCTTGAAAGACTGTGTGCTATTCTCAAGCGAGCTGAACGGAAAGTTCTGCGCACGAAGAGTTCAGAAGGCCTCCAAGCCTGTCGACGGACAAAGCGTCATATTCAGCGCTACCTGGATAAACTTAGCTGGCAATGATGGCGTGACTTTTGCTCAACACTAGATGTTCGCCAACCATTGTTCGAAATTTGGCGGGTTTTTAGAGGCATGCGCATGCCACTCCAGCAGCTTCACCCTTTCGCCGCACTCTCCCTGCACGAACGAAAATCCCTCAAAGAGCTCTCGGAAGGATATTGCGCACTACTATCAACAAATTCAACGCTTTGGACCGCATCTGCAGGTAACCAGCCTGGCAACTCACAGGTGGCAGTTCTAGCGCTAGACATACCTTTTTACAATTGAGCATTTCCGATGGAGGCGGAAATGTCGAGGCCCGTGTGCTCAGATTTGGGTGCACGTTAAAGAACCCCAGGTGGTCAAAATTTCCGGAGCCCTCCACTACGGCGTCTCTCATAATCATATGGTGGTTTTGGGACGTTAAACACTACAAATCAATCAATCAACCTTTTACAATTGAGGAACTGAACACTGCCATTGGTGAGTCAAACAGGCGCACATCACCTGGCCATGACGAAGTTACCTATGAAGCCATTGCATAGCTACCCCATGCGTCCCACCTACGACTCCTAGAATATTATAATTCCTCGTGGATGTCTGGAGTGGTACCCGCTGAGTGGAAGCTGGCGAAAATAGGGCCCATTTTGAAACCTGGTAAGCAGCCAACAAGCTACACTTCTTTCCGGCCTGTCGCCCTACTGAGTTGCGTTGGCAAACTCATGGAGCGAATGACTCCCAAATGCTTGACCTGGTTCATAGAAAGCAGCAACGAGTTTCCGCAAGAAATGAATGGGTTCCGCCAAGGCAAGTCGGCTATCGACAAAGTCATCGCACTTTTCTCTTCCCTTAAGAGGACCTCTCGGCAGGACAAATCCCGACAGCCGTATTTCTTGACATCAAGGCAGCTTTCGATTCAGTCTTTCACCATGCCATTCTCGCAACCATAAAAGATCTTGGCCAAGGAGGGAATCTATACAAATGGTCTGAAAACTATCTAGAAGAGCGGAAAACATATATGAGCACTCCAAATGGTCCCACACAGCTCTATACAGTAGAGAAAGGTGTACCCCAGGGTGCCGTGCTCAGCCCGGTCCTTTTCAACCTTACCCTCGTACACATAACAAATTACTCCCTCGAGGAGTACACATCACAATTTTCGCTGATGGCATCTCCATCTGGAGCGCTTCAAGGTCATGTTACATAACAAAACAGTGACTTCAAAAAGCTTTGCAGAACATCTCCACATATGTAGCGCCCCAAGGCATGCACCTTTCACCAGAAAATAGCACAGCCATCGCTTTCACGAAAAAGAAAATGAGCAAGTATGCGCTACTCTTCCGTGGACGGCTGCTGACCTATGTACGGTCTCAAACATGCCTGGGAATCATCATCGACAGAAATCTTTCCTGGTCTCTTCAGGTGAAGACACTTCGAACTAGAATAGTAGCAGGAGACTTCCGCCTATTGACTTTATATCTCTTCTACAAGACAAATGCTATCCTGTCGACTGCAATGGAAGGCATCCTCGATAGCAGCAGAACTTCATGGTATCAAAGAAGCTGTCCTTTACATCTTGCGCTGAACGCCAGACCAATGGGTAATTTTCACCGACTCCAAAGGAGCACTACAGATATTATTCAACCTCCTAAAGGAAACAAATTGTCACCTCATTTCGTTCGACACAGCATATCTACATAATCTTGCTGTGACCGAAGGGAACTCTATCACATTTCAGTAATACGTGCTCAGTGTGGAATTTCCGCCAACGAAAAAGCAGATGAAGCAGCACGCAAGGGGGTTCCACACCGCAATTACAGATGAACCTATTCAACTAAATTAGATGCAACCCAAATGGCCAAAACACTTGCGAATGAAGAAAATGAGAGGCGCTGGAACCTTCCGGCACATCATTATGCCTTCCTTCACTCAATCGACCCCTTTCTGAGAACAAGACTCTCATTCGAAATTCCTCGCCATATGGACACGCTATACCATCGTCTACGTCTAAACAGTGCCTATGTTAACAGCCTACAATACAGCTTCGGTCAGTCAGCGAGTCCTTATTGCAACAACTGTGGCTCCATCGAATCTGTGGAACATATATTGTTTGAGTGTAGAGCGTATGCTGAGAAGCGTGCACTTTATGAACATTGCATGCAATCTATAACCGAGAGAACTTTCTCCCTTGACTGTGTAGAGGGACCTTTAGCCTGCCCCACTTTACAGAGGCGTGCTATGAAACTTTTGTTTGCGTACTTGGACAGCATCGGTCAGCTAGACAAGCTGTAGCTGTAGCTTGACACCACGAAAAAACTATTAACGCACGTCCTCATTCAACGGTCAAAGAAGTAGCATTTTCCTTTATTTCTTTTTATCCTATCATCCATATTCACAATTTGTCATTTTTTCTCTCTCTATATTTATTTGTACTTTCAGTCCTCAATCCCCTTCCCCACGCAGAGTAGTGGGTCAGCGAATTTTACATGCCGGCTAAATTCTCTGCATTTCTATAAAAAACTCTCTCTCTTTCTCTCAAGTAAATGGGCCATGTTTTCTGACTCAAAACCAGCGTTACAGTTCTTGCTGTCAGTTCTCCGACGCGGACGCCCCGACCAGTTTACCTACAAAACCGTGAGACTTCACCCCTCTAAATGCAAAAAGGCCACGACATCGTCTTTCAATGGTTACCTGGGCATTGTGGTATAAGCGGAAATGACTCTGCAGATCATGCTGCTCGCACTACACATGAAGAAGCAAATAGCGTTCCAATTCCGCTTTCAAGAGTGGGCGTGGCAAGGCAGATTCGTCAACTGGCCCGCAGTCTCACACTGACTGAGTGGAACACACCAAGCATACGACGTACAAGACTGCACGGGCTTGACCCTTCCGTACAGCTCCGTCCTCCATCCAGCCTTGCATTCGAAGTAATAAGTCAGTTATGAATTGAGCACTGTGTATGTCTGTGTTTTCTTTCCTAATTGTTTCGTCTTTTAGAGCTGATATACGAATCATGAACCAACTGATCGAACCAGCAGTTTTAGCAAAGCTTTCGCCCGCGCACAATTGTACGTATACCAGACAC